TATATGAATGATGTCTCCTCAATGTTACATGTAGTATTGAAGTGGCTTTAGCCAATCTACCAACAGTCGTAGTATTATGAAAATAACGGCATACGGAGTAGTGTTATAGTGATATTGGGTGTTGCTATATGCCGCTAACACAAGGGTTACCTAACACGTCGCACTATACTCGATTCTCATGCTTCCCTTAGAAACAGCTATTAAGGAACATTAACCTTGTTTATCGATTTAACAGTTACCACTTGGCGGTCCAGATTTATCATGTACCTGTATGTAGTATACACTAGGAGATGAGGAGTACACATAGTACTGTATCTTGAGATAGCATAACTCTACTTCTCCCTCCCATCCTGGACGGTGGCGAGCTATAACATCCTTCTGATGTCTACTCCGTATATCAAGGGATAACACCTATATCATTAGCATAGCATGCCAATATAATAGCATCGTTCACTACACTATCTATTAGAGTCAGTACTTCCTCCTCCGACATATGGACGTATGCTCCGGCATCTTGCGGTACTTTACGATCACATTCCCATACCACTAGCAACCTATACAGACCACTATGAATGGTGGTATGATAGTGCTCTCCACCTACTACCGATCATTCTCTTCATAACTAGTCTCTACCCAAGATGGTACAGTGGCCATCGGGTTGCATTCGGTCATAGGAAGGTATGGCTTCAAGTCGAGTATAGGGGTACCATCAACCACGTCTAAACCCGATATAGTAACCGTACCTAGTAGCAGACCGGTTATCGTTATAGAATAATGAATAGTAACACCCTTATTGACATCAACATCATGTATACGGCATAGGGTGAGGCCTATTGGGTTGGGCCTATGTGGGCTTCTACATGCTAATGAGCCTACCTTAGCCCCACTATGGTTACCTAATAACACATACCAGCAAGAGTGGTATTATAATATTACGTGGAGGAGAGACTAATCCCTTGAGACCATTGAAGTTAGAGGATCTCTTAGCAAGATTGGTATTCAAGTGGAATACGTATATAACCCATACATGGGAGTACCTGATCACTACTATCTTAATACCAATAATGTTACTCTTGTATACTACTACTACTACCCCTGTAGACCTTGTAAACAGCTACTAGGGTTAGCTGCTGGGCGTATCTCTATAACACCTTTAGCTATATCTGCTATACCACTCTGTCGAGGTGTACCGTTACGTCTTGGGAAACAGCTACGACAGGTACCCAACGTATACCTTACAACACTACTATCTACTGTAGTAATGACCATCCCTTACATAGGGTAGTCAAGTCTACGATCTTCCTCATCATTTTCATCACTACTACAGCCTTGTTGTGTAAGGCCTTCCTCAAGCCTTTTCTCTGCTCTTATCCTACCTGTCCTCTCAGCTAACCTCTTCTCAGTCTCATGTGCTAGCAATTCCTCTAGTGCCCTCACCTACTACACCCTATATGTGCCTTCTTGCTAACAGTAATAGTATTACTTTATTCTTTAGAGAGCCTATAACCCCAGCAGCAAATACTAATGCGCCTCCGACGACAATGAGGCCTGTAGTAGTAGTCAAGGATGACAACCGTGTCATAAAAGCAAAATGGACCTATCACAGTCCACCTCTACCAAATGATTAACACTATTACGAGACTACTAGACTGGTGGATACTTATTAGCCGTGTTAAGTTGAGAGCTGGTGAGTACTAAGCAATCACTCTAATGTCTCCCCCAGGGGGAGTCCCCCTCCTGTGCCTCCGATACTATCTTCTTGCACCTGGTTATCCTTATACCACAATAGTAAGAATCTCAGTGTGAGATGCCCCCAATCTAATGCTTCCCTGCCATACCACCATACATGACTATCAATCCCCTCTCCTATTTGTATTCACTGTTCTTCATCGCTATCCCGACAGCCAGGCTTGTTGGACACTTGCTGTACTTATCAGGAACTTTATTTAGTCAACCTTAGGAGGGTTAAGCCCCTTCCTACTCAACTCAACAGCTATAGTCCGAGCATAGAGACATGTCGGTCGTTACCGATCGTTATGAGGACGGCCAAGGGTGTATGTAGGGATTGCGTATCTTAACAGCTATTATATGCCCAGTATCGATTTCTAGGCTATATCCAATGCTCATAGGATGGATTGGAGAAAGAGTTATCCCATACCATAGTAATGCCACGAGGAAACCCTACACTGTAATGTCCATCCTCCTGCGTCCTACCAGTGATCATTGACACTACAGCAGGTAAGGACTTGCGCAGTCGAACCCTACCCATTAGTAAAGGTATGACGGCTAGCCTGCCACTCCAGATACGAGCTGGTTAGTACGGCAGTGATACTTCACTACTACATCAGACCATGAGACTAGGGAGGGAATGTAGTGTTCTCGACACACATGTCACTATGAAGACGAGCTCGGATGGATTGAGGGGTCCGAGCAAGTGTGAGAGCTTGCGCACGCCCAAGTGATCGATATAGTTTTGCAGAGGATGCAAGACTTATACTACCAGCTCGGTGACCCGAACCCTCATATTCGGGAAGAAGCGGCCTTGAATATAGTTCATGACCTGAAGGCTGATATAAATAATGCCGATACTCATTATACCTTAAAACGGCTTGTGAGGGGATGTGGTAGTTCACGAGCAATGTGCCGACATGGCTTTGCAGCAGCATTAGGATTAGCAACGGCTAAGTTAGTAGAGGCTAATAATAATGATACTCAGAGTACCTTATCTCATCTATTATTCTTGGTTAAGGATAATACAGCTGGTATGAAGAAGGTTGGGGAAGGTATTGATGGTCTCCTAGCTAGGGCAGTAGCATTGGCAGCTATAGTAGAAGGTGGGGTTGTTACTACGATGGAAGGGGCTGAAGAGGTGGCGGCTATGGCATGGGAACTATTCGATGCTTCTAAGAAACAGAGTATGATAAGATTACTTGCTGCTAGGGTTATAGTACTACTCACCAATAAGGGGAAGTTCCAGCTGAAGTCGGTCACATCCCGGACCACTACGGCATCTTCCGGAGACATAAACCCCGCGGTGGTTCAAGTCCCCGCCTTGGCATATGTATATTTCTCTACGAGGCCCGATTCCTTCCGATTATCGAAGGTGGAGACGATAAAGTCAATAGTGTCTACACTATCTAAGACCACTACAGATTTTCCCTCACCATCCTACCACCCTGCATGGGAGCCTCTATTAGAGCACACCGATGGTGCTATAGCTGGCCAGGCTATCTGTACCTCCTTTATTGGTGGCAACCTTGGTGAGAAGGCCCTAATGCTACGTCTCTTTTTTGGTTTGGGTAAGTTCTTTGGCCCATGGCCTAAGGAGGCTGTAGAGCTCCTGTTGAACTCACAGCAGAAGGATCTACGTAAAACACAGGAGGCCTGCTTAGAAAGGATGGCTTATTATTTCGGCACCAATGGCTCTCTAGTTGGCAAGCTCGATGATGATGCCCGTAATGATCTCCTCATGTCTGGTATCAAACGTTGTATCCCTGGCATGCCTGGTGTGGTTACTACACGTATCTTATCTATCTGTGTAAGGCCACTAGGTCAACAAGGTGTATCCTCTCTAGTTAGTAATATGATACCATTAGCATCCACTAATCGTTGGGCACAAGAACGTCTATGTAATGCTGTATCCCATCCTAGTGCCACTGAGGATGCTATCAAATCAGCCCTAGAGGAGCTCCTCAAGGAGGGTCCTGCTGCTGCCCTAGCACTACGTAAGGCACTTACTACCCTTAGTCATAGGCCTACTGGTGATTGGGCTTCAGTGGCCTTTCAGTGTGTTAGGGATGCATCCTCCTTGACTGAGGATAACGATAAGTTGGCTAAGAGGGTCCTAAAGACGATTAAGAAGTCGGACCATAAGGAAGCTATTGGACCATGGTTGAAGTGGCAGTGGATCAATGTAGCCGCTCCTGGTGGTGATGATGGGGATGAGCAGGAAGCCCTTGATAACCTGGATGGTGCTATTGGAGCTGCCGATGAGTTTGATGCTCTAGTCGGTGCCTTGCCTGATCTCTATGGTGAGAGTAAGAACATTGTACGGTACTCAACGGGTAGGTTATGGCAATATCTAGTCAAGGAGGGGTATGTATCATGGGCTGATGCTGATGAGATGGTTAAGGATGTATGTGGAGAGAGTGAAGAGGAGGAAGTGGGTGGCGAGGGTGATGATGATGATGATCTTGATGATGAGAATGATGACAAGCCCTTCCTGCCTCCTATTATACCTGCTAATAATGGTGATACTGATGATATTGTTATGGAGGATGAGGATGATCTATTGGCTATGCTAAATGATGAGGATGCTGAGAGGGCAGCTCAAGCCTTCATTCAACAACAAGGGAAGAGTGCTGGTGCTAAGCATGAACGTGGTAAGGAGGCTAAGGTTGTTATAATGAGGAAGATCCATCGTGTTGACTTATTGGAGATATGGGTTACTACCACTACTACTGGTAGTGTGGCCGAGAGGCTAGATGTTGTTACCCGTATACTAGCTTATGCTGGTCGTATGAGGATCAATAAGAAGTCGAAGGAGAGTGGTGGTGATGGTGGCCTTAATGAGGCTAAGATGGAACTAAGGAATAGGCTCATAGGTATGGTCAGACGGTTCCGTACGGCAAAGCAGCCTTTGGAGGAAGCTCCTAGTGAGGAGGTTATCACCAAATTGGTGTATTTCCTACCAGACAAGGAGGCCCCTATACAGCAGGAATGTGCTCATCTTATAGCTTATCTATCTCGGTCTGATCCTCATGCTACTGCTAAGGTCCTAACCAAGTTAATGAAGGAGTGGTGTAGCGGTGGTAAGTATTCTATCCATACTAGTGCATGGGAAAGTCTATCATGGCCATTATTGGCTAAGGTAGAGTGGAATACTGTTGTGGCTAGCACTAATGATGTCCCTGCTAAGGGATATGTTCTCCGTGAGCTCCTAGCTGTACTACATCGCTTGGCCAAGTCTAAACAGCTCGAATGCTGTCCTCAGCTGGACGAGGTTGTATATAGAGTCGTGGGTGCAGTAGCTGATAAGTGGTCTAATGGTACTCTAGGGCGTAGTAGAGGCCAGATAGCAATTAGGGCTATCCAGGCCCTTATTGCTGTTGGTGGGCAGCAGCGATGGGATGCTGCTGTTATACAGTGGTTAGAGGATCTTAAGAAGCAAACTGCTTTGGGTACTGTTAGTAAACTAGCTGCTACTGCTCTGGCTGCTAGGGTAGATGCTGAAAATAAGAAGAAGAGGTCCAGGGAAGAGGAAGATGAGAAGATGAAGGTTGTCCTCAATAAGAAGGCTAAGGTAGCTAACTCGGCCGCTACCACTACCACCTCGTCGTCATCGTAACGTCATCACTATATCCAACGTCACCACTGAGTATGTTGTATCTTTATCATTAGTATCGTTCCTCATTACTCTTGTTGTACTAGTAGTAATGATAGTATTACTATAGCCGCATGAGTAGCAGCCTCATCCTCCTCCTATACTCTACTATCCATCATCTGTCCATCTCTTACGTAAACCTTGTTATGTTGTGTTTATATAGTCATTACCTTGGGAATGGTCAGATATGATGGATGGTGGTGATCAGCAGGAGTATACCTCAGAGCCATCAGGATGGTTATCTCTGCTCAATAGGGCTGATACCAAGTTGCGCATATTCGAGTAGTCTACCGCATTTATGGTATTAGCACTTAGTGGTATTTATAGGGATACTGGCTCAGACACGGCAGTAAGGGAGGCAGCAGGGGCATTAAGGGAATTGCTTGATGCAAAGAGGTGGAGGCCTAATGATCCATTATCATTACCATGGTAATAATAATGATCATACGCTATGTGGTCTGCTACTTACTGCTCTCCTTACAGGGCATGTAAGTCGTTAGGAAGGATACGTAATGGTACAGACTCTGAGACGGGGGGTCTAGTACCGGATACCTACACCAATTGGATGATAGTTACCGAAGAGTTGGTATCACTTCATATGAAAAGGGGACAGTTCAGGGTGATAATGATAGCATTAGGGGAGGGTGGAAGTACTGATGATGATAGGAAGCTATGGAGTATCTTGATGAGAAGACTGATAAGAAGTTATTATCTAGAGTTGGTATACCTCCTGAGTATAGAGCCAATATGTTGGTCAATCTACTGCATTGTGAGCTGGAGTCAGGGAGAGTAGTAGAGGCTTTAGATTCATCAGAAGATGCTGAGAAAAGGTTATTCCCAGCAGAGAAGGCATTGAAGGTAGTGCAACTAGTAGTGATAGTGAAGTGGTGGTATATATGTATAGGATGCCGTACTCTCGACACCAGCATGGCATCTACTTAATGCTCGTACCTACCTCTATCACTTCGCCTGGGATATGGCTTTAGAGGAGTGTGAAGAATCTAATGAGGTTAGACAGAAGTATCAAAGAGATCTTCAAGGCCAACTACATACATGGAGGGATGTAAGTAGTAGTAGTAAGGATGTATATGAATATAATAGTAAAGGTGATATATGCATGGTGTATGGGGCAGAGGCGTCTAGCCTCTGGTATGAGAGGAGATGTTATGGATGCATTAACCTCATGGCAAACAGCTGTTGATGAAGAGAGGCTGAGGATAAAGGATGATCCAAGATTCTCTACGTATTACTACTATTACTACTGCCATCATCATCACTAGGTTCTAGGTGCTGGTATTTACGATTTGTACTTATGGCTTTGACAAACTGTGGGTATGCAATGCAGAGTGAAGATAGCAGGATGGAAGTACACCGTATACTCTTAGACAAATGCCAAGAACTCTTACAGGAACTATCAGAGGACCCCAGGACCAGGTAGACCAAGCATGGGTCGTTATCATTGTCATCATCGATAATATCAGAGGAGATGCCTTACTACGGAAGGCTAGGAGGGTTCTAAGGCAGCATAGGTCGCCTTATGATGGTACTGTACGTAGGAGTGTACTACATATAGATGCCACAGCATGTGGGACTTTAGCTCGATGGATAAGGCATTCTACAGAGGCAATACCTGCTATTATCTAACACTCTGAACTGCCCTACTCCAGGACCCGAACGTTGAATTCGATACGTACTACACCCAGCCAGGTGGGCTAGGCCTCCCTGGAGTAGGGGTAAGGACTATAAAGCCCATTCAACCTGGGGACATCATTACTGCTGATTATGGCCCTGATTATCAGATACCTAAGGCTGCTCTAAGAGAGGTAATAGTAGTAGTATGGGGGATGAAGTAGCTACTATAGGTCCCTACTCCTCATTATGGTAGGGTATGAATCCGGGGCCTTATCAAGCCGACTTCCCTTACCTCTCTACGGTTCTCAATGGTTTAGCTACTAGTACATCACCTGTAAGGGCAGGGAGACTATTAAGGATGGTAGAGAGTCTAGCTAGTATAGATGGGGATCAGGCTACAGTGAGGACACGATATGATGATACTCATGATAACGATGATCATATCAGGAAGATGACCCAGAGATGGTAGAGGAGGATAAGTTTTACCTGGATGATGATGGTAGCCTTAAAGCAGGCCCAGAGACGTAAATGCTGGGGTGGTGGTATGGTCATAGTATACCTGTATCATCAATATCCATAGATATATACCCCATCCAGGAGTATACATAATGCTCTATGGAGGAGTATTGAGACATGGCCCTATGAGCTACTTTGGAGTAGCAGTGGCATGGAAGAAGGATCCACCACCTATGTACAGAGTGGTCCAGGACCCTGTAACCAATACCTACTGCATGTACTACTAGAGGATTGGTCATGCCTAGAGCAGTAACCTTTCAGTGACCTGGATGATGATGATGACGATGACTAGTAGATGACTGCTGCTGCTGCTGCTGCCACCCTCTAACTTGCAGTGTCTAATCTGCATATGAATAACGTGACAGGTTGTGACATTATTCATATGCATAGTACCAGCTGTGGCCCATAGTATTACCATTATCACAACGATGCGACTACCACCATTACTACTACTATTGAGTAGAGACTACCATCATCCTTACCACCTTACTCTCTTATCCTGTGTTACAGTCATGTTCATTACCACTCTTCTTCTTCTTCCTGATATCCAGGGACCTTATCTCACTATGTGAATGAACTAACTGCTCATGATGAACAGGGGCTCAGGTCTCTCTCTCGCTCAAAAACCGCCGAGCGTTCGGGGGGCCAATGCCTCCCCACGGACAGCATTGGTTCTGAGGCTTGTTACCACTGGCCGAAAGGAAGTAGGCCGGAGCTCAATGCAGCAGCATTATCACCACCATCCTTCTTGACGACTTTTATTCTTGTTATAAGCCGCAGTAGACTTGTGACAGGTTATTATTAGGAGGCGAATGGAAGATTAGTCATTGACAAGATGTCAAGAGTACATGGTCCATATTAGAGGTATAGTGCTGACGTGAGGCACCTATAGCAGCGGCATGTATATATCTAGCCGCCGAGTGCTCTACACTGTAGACTACTATCTCGTAGACTCTACAGGACATGTAGCCTAGTGGCAGTAGGAACTTTCAACACCAGGCAACAACAGTGTACTACTACTCTACCACCACCATCATCCTCAATTGATATTGGGATCATCACCACATACAGACTCCCAAGGGACATTCAGGGGGCTTTCATACCTCTAACCATACAACAAACGTGTGGGGACTCCCTCTCCTTCTGCAACCTTGCCATCATCATCATCATTCGCTATCACACAACCTTTCCTGTCGTGTCGCCTTCTACTCCTCACTATCATCATCACCCCAGCCTTTGGTCTCCCATGTTATCGTCCCAATCTTCCAACATGATAACAGCAGACCAGTTAGTAGCACGTACTATCGAGATGAGTGTAGGTTGCCCCACAGCAACGACAATAGCTTACCACCATTGTGTTACAGCCCTTCCAACCTGTTACGAGGAGTACTGCCACAAGCAGTAGTCGTGTACTCTTGGCAGCACCACAGCAACAGCAGCAGGATGATGATGATAAGGTGGAGGCAAGTGGAGCAGCAGCAGCGGCTGGATCTAGATGGGAGGAGTGGGACTGGGGGGAGGGTGCTTTTGATAATAATAACGGTACTCTACAGACACCCCTGTGACCTTTGTAAATGTGTATTGTATTCGATGGAGGAACTGACCAATCATATTAATGGTAAACGTCATCAGAAGGCCTTGAGGAATCGTAACTGGTTTGAAGCACAACAAGTGAAGTAGGTTGTTGAGTACAAGGATACTATCACCACCTAATAATAAGCATCAGGAAACTGGCTACAGTCAATGGGGCTCACGATGATGATGAGGTACGCTTTGCACCACCACCAGCAGCAGCTGCTGGTGGAGGTGGTAGTGGTAGTGGTACTAATGCCGAGAATGATATCTCTAATCCGGGTGTACCACTGGCCGCCACCGCCGCCGCCGCCGATGGACACGATGATGATAAGTGATTTCATCCTGGACTATGGTGCTGCTGATGGTGATGATTAGATATACACCGGTATCCAAGCTAATGAGGGAGCATTGTGGTGAATGGGAGGTGTCCCCGATGGGCTTTAAATGCATCATCTGTGGTGAGTAGAGGTCATGATGTAGAAGTTGTTGTAGTGGTAGCTAATTGAATGTGTATAGGATGTTCTGTGAACAGTGAGGGTTCCATGGACATGCACCTTATGGGAGCTGGTCATCGGAAGAAGAGGGAATCACTAGAATGGCAGAGGAGGGTCACTACTACCAATAATACTACATCCATTACTACTACTACGATGCTAACAACCCCAGCTAACCAACAACAGGATGTAGACCACCACCAGCAGCAGCAGGCTGTAGTATCATCTAACAATGATCCATCCCAAGATAGTATGTGGGACCTATCTAAGATCCCCGATGATGAGAGAGCCTTCATTAGATGGGATGATCTACGAGGCTACGTCTGCAGTTGTTGTGGTACTAGTAGTAGTGGTTAGTGTTGATAGCCAATATTGGGTACTATTATAGATGCGGCCTGTTGTACTGTGGATACCTTACAAATGCACTTGCGAGGCAAGAAGCACTTGAGCAAGTCTAGATGGTACAAGACTAGTACACTCCTCCATCATAATGGGCAGGGAGTAGGAGGTGGTGATGGCCAGGTACCGACACCCCACACCTATGGGGTAACTAAGTTGCTCCTTCTATAGGTATCAGCAACAACAGCACCTGCTGCTGCTGCGACGGCGTAGTACAATGATGTTATTGATGTGATCATATCATTGTTGGCCTCAGGAATGATGATGCCATAGGGATGGTTATCTTCGAGGACCATACAATATGGCAGGAAACTAACACAGGGTGGCTGTGTAAGCTGTGTGGTAATACTCCATCATTACTGTTGTTACTAGTGATGGTTAATCGTCTTTATAGATGCTACTGTTAACAGTGACTCAATGGCTATGGCCCATATGTCTAGCAGAAAGCATCAGAGCAATATGGCATGGGCCTCCAATACAACAGCATTACCATCCGTCGATGGGGGCGGTATGAATAACCAATGGTATGCGGCTGGCTATAACGAGGGTGTCGAGTTCCAGAATGGATGTACCTATCAGTTTTATGGCAACAGGGACATGCCAATAAGTTTTGGACATGTTGACAATACTGGTAGGTGGGTGTGGGATCTTACACTAATCACAATTGGCTTATCAGGACCCATGGGCCATGCGCCAGCTCACAATAATTGGGAGGACTCTCGATGCAAGCTCTGCCAAACTGGAGATATCTGTGGGTACGCCACCATGGCTGATTGTGAACCTGCTAACCACCATCGTGAACAATACTTTTAGATGGGCAGCATGGTCCGGACATTTCAACGGTAAAGCTCACAAGAAGAACGTGAGAATGAATAAATACGAGTACGTGGCTGTCTGGCAGAAGCTAAGTGCTGAAGGGGTGAGTTGTTGAGGTACGCTGCTAGTTGGAATGCTCCTTGTCCATCAGTTTGAGTATTACTACGATCACCTTACAGGGTTGTGGGATTCGCATAATCCAGTGGAAGATGAGATAGGATACTTCCCTGATGACGGCATCATCTATGTTCGTGACCCGTCATCTTTTGAAGAATGAGTAACCTCATCTCCACTCCATACGGAGTTGGCCGTCGCATTGTTTGATGTAGTTATCATTTGTTCTTGATTTTGTTCTTTCATTTGTTCTATGCAGGACTTGCGTCATAGTATAACCCATACTGTACAAATAATAGAACGAGACAGTCGAAAAACAGGCATTAACTCTCTATTCAGAATACTTCCTCACATTGGCAGACACATACTCCCTAATATTGATAACCATACTACACAACCCAACATATCTATCTACGAGGTCACTCGACCGTTGAAGATTTAACAATCACAGTATTGGACAGTGAAGGTGAGTGTATAGAACAATCGTTCCTCCACAAAGTGAGGAATATACCAACAATCCAGCAAATCATAGAAACTTACCACAGCGATTGTTACAACAGTATAGTAGAAAATAAACAGTGATGATCCAGATATGAATACTAAGAGATAAAAATGACATACTAGAAATTTTCGGGAAGAACTCATAGCATATCTGTAATCCACACACCGAAGATGCTTCCGATGAGGATACCATTGATGAGGCAGAATCCCATAGCATAACCAGCGATTTCTTGCTCATCCTTATGGTTTGGAACTTTCTTCGGACCAAGCATCATACCAAGAGTAGCAACGACACCGTTACTGAAAGCAAATATTGCCATCATAACGTGCTTGAACCAGTTATAGTGGAAAGGAATGACGCTCGGGAAGACTCTGATGCAAATAAATAGCGGTATGAAGATAGCACGTCCGAGAGAAACAACAACCAACCATAATGGTGATAAGCGAATTCCCATGTTCGGGGCAAAGCGGCCAACAGTATCGAAAATCTGATACATATAAGTTACGAGAGGAATAAAGTTGACGCTGTCATCCGGGCCCTTTGAGCTGGTAAACTGTGTTACTTGGGAAGGGAATACGGTGAAGGTTATAGTTAGAACAGACCAAACAATGAATGCGGGCAACATGATATCCTTGAGGATAGCGTACACAGGACGGGTACTCTGACGCTTGGTGAAGCCTTCCTTCTTCCTGCTCTCCTCAATCTTGAGAATATCTCTCATGTACGGGTGTTTTACCATACAAAGTCGGAACATTGGGATAACGAGGATAGTCATTATTGAGGTGACCGCGAAGAAGATCAAGCACCTCCATTCAGCATAACGTTGAACCCCACATGATGTGAGAATATAGTTTATGAGTACGTAGATAGGCCACCCGATAAGGCCAGCAACACCCTCACCAATCATAGCCCAATTCATACAAGTCTGGGAACCAAGTGCTGCCAAACCAAAAGCGGCTGATTCTATGAGAGAATGACCAAAGCCAAGCATGAACGTGCATACCAAACCGAGCGCGAACCCAAGGGCCGAGTTGTCAACGGGATCATCTTCACCAATCACCATGGCGACCACCGCCATGAGAATATTGAACGAGGCAAGCAAGATGCATCCAATATCCATACGAGGGGCGAAGTGGAACTTGTTGCCAATGAAGATGAGTAACAGTTCGGCCACATTGACAGACAGACCGTAGTAGATGGAGACGTTGGAACTGAACTGATGCTCGAACTTGGAATCCAAGTATACTAGCTCAGTGAGAACGAAGTTCCATGGAGCCAAGGCTACAAATCCCAGTACACCAAACATAAGGAGAAGCTTCCAGTCTGGTTTCGATCCATCAGCTTGCTTCTTCTCCTCTACAAATCCACTCGACGCTGACGACGCCTCGAGGTCGCTCACTGTATGTGTACTCTCGGAAGACATAATAAATATAGAGAATAAAGAACGAAGAAACTACTCAACCGAGCTGGTATTGCACAGAAAGAGACAATGTGCTAGCGACAACACATATAGCTGATGATTATGTCTCCAAATGCCATGGATTTTATATCTAAGAATATAGGCTTGGAGAACTCTAGTTCGTGAAACGGACTAACAAGTATTTCAATAACAGTCTTCGAGACGAAACTTGAGGTATGATGATACCAGATTCAACTAACAGCAAGTTGGTCGTTGTTATATGCTGTGGTCATTTACTACTAGTCAAGTATTACTTGAGCATTATGCCTGTCAAGTAGAGTCGTTCTGTGTGTACCACAGTCACCCTAACATTCACACTCAGTGGGATGGACTAAGAATGGTTATCTTGGCATTATCCATGTTTTCTACGTTCTTCGATCATTAGCTATGCTCTTACACATGCACGCATACACAATAGGATTTCCTGCGCCTTGGTGTAGCTTTGGATTGGGTAACACTCAACAGTCACCGTTCGGCCACAGCACTAACCAGAACCTGCACAACTTCTACCTCCCAACCTTACCCCAGTCGAAGAATGCAGCACTTAATGACATAAAAACTATATGAAATAGATCTGCGCTGAGCGCAGTGCGCTCAGTCTGACTGAATCTTACAGCAAGACTCATTTAACACTAAACCAAAAACTTAGTTCTTCATTCACAAACGGTTTACGGTCAACTGACCGAAATCTTATTTCGAACACAGACTAGTTGTTCAAAAAAGTTCTCGGGTGGAACAATATACACAAACCATCAACACCTTGGTAGACAATTGGTCGATCGTCACGTGACTTGAGAGTGCGGACTATCAGCACAAACCAGTAACCGTAACGACAGCGTAGAGCTACCACTAGATATAGCTGTCCCCGATCTTCACTGGAGACTTAGCTAATAGATAGGTGAGATAGAGAACCGATAATTTATGCGAAGTACATAAATCGGTAGCCGAGATGGAAGAATAGGAGAAAGGACACCATTGGTGTATAAGATACGAGAGCAGACAATATGGTTCACTTTGTTGAGCTTGAGTTCTTCATCTGTGCTATTGTTGTTGCTTAGGTCAGCACTGATAGTCATCGAATTACCAATGTAACAGTGCACCATATACTACTCCGTGAATGCCACAGGGGCAACAACAACAACGGCTAATGAGGAGTTCAACAATAAGAGCGAATACTGCCAAAGCAAGAACGGCAATACGCCGATCCTGCAATACAGACGATTATGGGGAAGTAAAGGAGACAAGAGTAAAGGATGGCAATACACGAATCAGCGTGGGCCATCATATTCAATAATGATGATGTAACTAAAGAAAGTGAACATATACATAGCATTACTATAGTAGTAAGTCTGGTCGATCAGACCAACAGTAGAATAACCTCATCAGCATTACTATGATGGAGGCATAGGCAACATATCAGTAACCCATATACCGAAGATACTTCCAATAAGGATACCATCGATAAGGCAGAAACTCATGGCATAGCCAGCAATCTCTTGTTCATTCCGATCATCAGGAACCTTGGTAGGACCCATCATCATACCCAGAGTACTGGTAACACCATTGGTGAAGGCAAATATTGCCATCATGATATGTTTGAAGTAGTTATGTTGGAATGCCATATTCCAAGGGAATAACTTGATGCATATGAATAGTGGGATAAAGATACCACGACTAAGAGCTAAGGCAACAAGCCACCACTGAGGAAGACGGATACCAATATTAGGTGCAAACCGACCAACAGTATCGAATATCTGATACATATAGGTAAGAAGAGGAATAAAGGATGCGTTATCAGCCGCACCCTTACCACTAGTAAACTGAGTAACTTGGGATGGGAAGACAACAAAGGTAATAGTAAGAGCACACCAAACCACAAATGCAGGGACAGCGATATCCATAAGGATCCTGTAGACCGGTCTCTTGGTCTGTCGCTGCTTGAGTCCACCAGCCTTACGCTTAGCTTCCATCTCCATAACCTGTTTCATGTAGGGATGCTTCATCATACCATAATGGAACATTGGGATACAGAGAATGGTTAAGACAGTGGTGACTAGGAAGAATATAAAGCATCTCCATTCAGCATAACGCTCAACTCCACATGATATAAGGATGTAGTTGATCAAGATATTAATAGGCCATCCAATGAGACCAGCAACACCTTCACCAATCATACCCCAATTCATGCAAGCCTGAGAGCCAAGTGCTGCCAAACCAAAGGCACACGACTCAATAAAAGAGTGACCAAAACCAAGCATAAAGGTGCACACCAACCCAAGACCAAAACCGAGACCAGGGTTTTCAAGAGGATCATCATTACCAATGAACATAGCTACAAGGGCCAGGGCAATATTGAACGAGGCAAGCAGTATACATCCAAAATCCATACGGGGAGCAAAAGCGAACTTGTTACCAATAAAGATGAGTAACAGTTCAGCCACATTGACAGACAGACCGTAGTAGATGGAGACGTTTGAGCTGAACTGATGCTCGAACTTATCATTCAAGTACACTAGCTCAGTGAGGACAAAGTTCCATGGAGCCAAAGCAATGAAACCCAGTATCATGAACATAAGGAGAAGCTTCCAATCCTCAAGACTCTCCTTTTCTTCCTCCTTACACTCACCGGGCTTCAAATCATCCATTTCCTTCTCAGATGAGGAGTAGGTAGATGAGCCACTCTTCGTCACTGATTGGAGGCACTCTTCAAGGTCACGATTAGTATCCATAGGCAGACCCTCATTACTATCATGTACAGATAGCTCCACTACCTCGGTTGCTGATGACGGCATCTACGTAGCCTGAGTTCTATAATAAAAAGGAGCGATGCTCTAAGTTGAGTAATGTAAGTAGAGACAATAGCTACGGCCCTGGCTTCGGGTTGTGTCATAGCTGTCTACTTAATCAGCGCGTTATCCCAGTTGAGTGCTCAACCTCTGGCACTACACACTGTGCATGACGACCTTATCAGACGGCCTTTTCTTACAGTGCATGATACGTCCGAGAATATAGTTCCTCGTTATTAGGCTACCCAGCTAGTTGTGTATCATGTTTGTCCAATTCACAGACTGGACCACAATGAGAGGCTCACTCGCGATTTGTATAGGAACATGCGCATGGTATAGATCAACGCCGGAAACCATACCACCCGCTTAATACCCAGTCAATTCGTGTACTACTAACCCAACACTAGGAGGACAAGATCAATTCCGGTGAGCACAACTACGTCATTACCATAATCGGTGTTTTGGTAGCAATCATTTCCGGAGAAGTAGCATGATGATAATGATGATATAGACTAGCAGTTGGAGCAGTAGCATTCCAAGAGTATAGGAAGATCATCAAGACACGACGATCAACTGGAATCATTGATCTAAGTGTTGCATTAACCACCAGCACAAGGACAGTTATCAACATGTACTGATATCGAAAGGCAAAAAGACAACGACATACCTGCTACCGTTACTACTGCTGTTGCTGGTCGTAGTCGTTGTAGTTGTTGTCAGAGTCACCAACGACATTACTGTTGGTGTGGTATAAAATAGTCTATCAATCGACATTCACCCTTTACTTCGAGTCTAATCGGAAGGGAGTGTACGAAAATGAGGATATTAGTAGTAATTTAATATCTGACGATCTCTTATAGACCGTAAATGTATCGACCTTAATCTCGAACAGTAGAACTACGTTAGAGAGGCTTATGATGTCGCTACAGCCACTGCAGACCCTTGTTGCTGCATCTTTAGCTTATCATCATCTTCAGCAACTGCTGTTCGATGGCAAGTTGTTGCTTTCTTCTCATCCTCCTCCTCCTCCTCTTGCTGCTGTTGCTGGTGTGCCTCATCACCATCAGCTTGAGCAGGTTGCCGTGCGACAAGTACTGAGCAGTGTGCTTTATGTGCTATATAGAAGCTGAAACATGAACACGAAGGGTCATCGTCAACATAGAGTGATGTTGGTAGTATTACGGAAAGCTATTAGGATGGAAGAGATGTGAATGCCCACCATAACCAGTAGCTATAATGTCAACATTCTCTCTCTGAGCATACTCACACATTGCTGCAGCAGGTAAAGGGCCTGCAGTAGAGGATATCACGTGTGTAGACTGACTAAAGCTGAGCTTACTAGCTTGTAGGACTTTAGCTGAGAATATCAACTCATCATCAGCCTTATGTTCATCCATAACCTCCTTCAAATCACCCATAAGTATATCTTCAATGCTTGCAGTACCTTCAAGTGGTGGGGCTACTACATGTACCCTATCATTATATACCACACACATCCCAAGTACTGCTACTACTACTACTACTACTGCTACTACTACTACCGCATTGCCACCAGCCGAGAAGTCTGGTGTAGTCACTAATTGGACCTCATCTCCAGGTCTACAAAGCCGCATAGCTGCACGAAGAGCTTCTATTGAATCCTCCCTAGAAAGAGTAAGCCACATTATGAGCATCACCACACAACCGCCACAGAATGGCTTCCTACCAGTTGTTGCTCCCAAAACATACCAACACCTTCATGGGACGATTGTTATGTACACCAGGTAGTACCACCGCCTTAGAATTATCACACTTGATCGCTGTGTAGAAGTAGAATGATCAACCTCCAGTGCTGCTGTATACCCCAACCTACCAGCCTCAGCAAACTCTGCCACATCCCCATTATCTTCGTCATCAGACTCATTGGGAGTACTAGTAGAAGCCGCCTCATTCTCTCGTAAGATTAGGACATCACATGGAGATTCTCGCACTACATACTCCACTAATGATGCCAACTTGAGGTAGTGTGTCTAAGATACACTCCACTACTATGGTCATCCCATGGCAGGTAGAAGTACCGAGCCTCCAGATCCAATGGCCACGAGATCTGGTTCAGTCTCACTACAGTACTCCATGAGAGTATCTAGTATAATCATCAAGGCAACAGCAGTCTTCTCCAGAGATAAGTACCTCTGATATCCTTAGTCGCTTCAGCGACATCGAATGTTGTCTCGAGTTGAGGGTATTCACTAGCGATGTTCTTGAAACGTCTCTCATAGTCATTGGACTCATCAATACTCTCCTGTTTAGTAGGTACATGATAACCTGAGGGGACGGGAATCATTGATCATCATACTCAAAACACTACTACCATTAATTGATATGCTACTGCTACTATCAGGATGTTCCCAAGACGATACCAATCCGAATATGTTACTTAATGCAGTCTCTGATGCACATGGATTAGCACCACCAAGGCATACCACTATTCTGTTAATATGTGGTGATCGGTACCTGATAGTCCTCATGATAGCCATACCACAATACCAGTATTGACGTACCATGTCTTGGATGCTTGCTTTTGCCAGCTTCTTGAAAGCATCTTATGGAATAATCCGCGGTATAACATGTTATAGATAAATGGGTTAAATACATTCCTAAGAGGGTGATATCTAGAATCCAACGACGAATAACAACAACACAGTTCAGGAATAACAGTAGTGAAAATGAGAACTTCGATAATTCAACTCATAGAGACATAAAAAAGGACCAGTGCAACCAGACCCCACTCGCTATCACACGGGCGAGGACCGATATATAAGGCAATCGTACATTCGTCGGCAAGAGTGATCGCATCGTGTCTACCAAGTTGAATATTCTTTCTTTGATAAGCGCGCGCCCGTACGATCGATCTTGTATTTCATCGGGGCGCAAACAGACGTTGCCTGCTGCACCCTCTTCGGTACTTGTTACCGGGAGTGGTGGGATTGGGATGAAATGCAGAAGTTCCTTCAGCCCGTGACCAAGCCATAACGTACGGGAACGCGGCGAAGATCGTCTAACCTCGGGTTACTATCAGCGAAATCGATTTCCGCCTTTCGTCGAAATTGAACTCGCTTCAGACATGCCGGCGAAATTGATTGTACTAGTGACACGTGTCGTCGAAATTGACTGTACTAGTGACACGTGTCGTCGAAATTGACTGTACTAGTGACACGTGTCGTCGAAATTGATTGTACTAGTGACACGTGTCGTAGAAATTAATTCTTATATCGAGCGCGCTGGCGAAATTGGTCTTACTAAGGCATATCTTGGCTCGGATGATTGCTCGTCCTGCGAAATTGACCTTACTAAACGAGAAATAGGCCTTTAAAAGGTGTAGTAGTGTTGGCGGTCTAATATCTACGCCATCCACATTCGTCCAACAACGAGAATCCTCATTGATGCTTGGGAACTAGCAGTAGTAACGCCGTCGTTGTTGTTGTTGCTGCTGCTGCTTGAACCTTTCATCCCTCCAAGCCTTTTATTCCTCCAATTAGTCTTGTGTTGAAGTCTTTACCAGGTCAAGTTGACCCTGTTATGAACAAACTCGTTCATCGCTTAACTTTAGCAATCCTATTAGTGCTTTTCCTTTTGAACAGCGACCTAAGGCGGCCAAGGGAGAAGCGGGGGCTATGATAGCCCGGCTATCTTCATTAGCGTTACCTGTGAGAAGGAAATGTCATATGTGATGGATGGGTAAGAAACCGAAAGGCACGGCCTCAGGACGCCTTTATGAGCAGAAGTGACATACCTACTCATGAGCTCATTGTTGAGGTCAGGAGAATGAGGGTAGCATTGACAGGGAGGCTGCATCAATAGCAATGGCACATCTGGTGTAGTGGGTGCCATTGAGGATCTGAGCAACCTAAGGGTATCCACACTGTCTATGGATGCACTGTGCAGCAAACCGTATGTTATAACACCATGAGCATGACCAACGTTTCACTGTAGTGTGGTCGTCTATATCGCCCTAGACTGGTCAATCGTTATCGTTCATGGCGTCCATTTCCCCCTCTCCCTCCATAGCCACTACCTTACATAGCTAGGGTTACACTGCCTGCCACCCAAGGTAATAGGCACAACAGTAGGTATAGGTTTGGCAGGCTTGGGTGCTGAGTACGGTGGTAGTAGTGTGTACATCAAACAAGGGGGGGGCGTTGGGATCCCGATAGATCTCGGATGAGGAGGATGATGATAAGAAGCTATCTCGAGTTACTCCAAGAAGCCCACACTCGTAGCTAGAGTATTATCTCATCGCCTTATATGCAATAGTTAAGGTTCTATTACCTTCGTTCATAGGCTGGTCTGTAGTGTGTGGGGTTCATCCCTCAGTAACGATGCTCAATGTTCATCAACGGAAGCCTTCCTAATCTGATATTGTTATAGTGGCGTTTCTGTGTATCCTTGTCTTGGGTTGTTGTGCAGCTTTCGGGTACTGTTCATCATCATCATCATCATAGTAGGGGTTGTTGTTGTTGTTATTGTAGTATAATGAAGGTAGTAGGATTGATATCTGGAGGGAAGGACTCGATATTCAACCTACATCTATGCAAGTATCTAGGCCATGATGTGGTATGTGTGGCTAATCTACATCCACCAATAACACCACCATTAACACATGAGGATACAGGAGACGAGATGGATAGCTACATGTAAGTGTACAGGCTCATGAATACAATAAGAGTGTCCTCTCTAGGTATCAGACAGTTGGTCATGAGGTTGTCCCAGTCGTAGCAGAGGCTCTTGGTGTACCTCTATATAAACAGGTAGGTTACCACCGTTATCACACTGCTGCAGATACTATTCCATTGGTAGGCCATCAACAGAGCTCCCTTAGAGACTAATGATCTTGTCTATCATCATGAAACTGGGCGTGATGATGAGGATGAAGTTGAAGACCTGTAGATCCATTGAGTATCATGGCCTCGATACATGGGTTGCTTATCGTGGCAGGTATGATCTGCTAGTTACAGTGAAGAGAGCACATCCAGAGGTTAACGCTGTGAGCTGTGGAGCTATATTCTCCGATTATCAACGACTTAGAGTCGAGAATGTCTGTCAGCGTCTAGGATTGATGGTGATTCTTGTGATTGGAGAATAGTCCTGTACCCCTGCTTTATGTATAGGTGTTAGCATTCATGTGGAGGTTACCCCAGGATAGGCTCCTCAATTGGATGATTGATACTGGTGAGGATGATATCTACTAGTATCGCTATAATGATGATGGTTAGTAGGTATCGAAGCACGCCTAGTGAAAGTAGCATGTATGGGATTGGATGAGAGACATCTTGGCCAGACTCTATCACAACTCAAACCGTATTATTATATCCTTACAATCTATCTCATCTATTACTACTAGTAGTAGATATTTCACCAAGCTACATAATCAATTCGGATTCCATGTCTGTGGGGAAGGTGGAGAGTATGAGACCTTAACGACTGACTGTCCATTGTAAGTTGGGTATACCATCATCCCAACAGGGTAGTGTACTACTAGATACATCAATGGCCGTATTGAACTAGGGGATACTAGAGTAGTCAAGCACAGTGCTGATGTATATTATCTCCAGTCATCCAACCCACATCTAGAGCCTAAAAATGATGCTATCACCACCGACTGGAAGAAGGCCTGTAATAACAACGTTAGTCCATGTTCTGGAAGGCTATCCTTGTAGGTAAATCTCTATCAGTCTTGGATGGTTTGGAGTACTACGAACAGGATTATCCTAGGCTGGAGGATGAACATGAGCATTTTACAATGCAGGCTCCTGTGTCTACACAGTGTTATGAGAATACAGCTAGTCACCAGCATGCAGCCACTGCATGTTTGAGGACATCCTCTACTACTAGTGTAGCCATGAGTAACTCCATTGATGTAAGTAGGTTCCTGTACAGCATTATTATCATCCAATCGTCTAAGGTATTATCCGTACCACCAACCACAACCCTCGAGCCCTCATGTGAGATCACTAACATGGATGTTATACAACAATGCAGATATGTACTTGAATACATCACAGCTACACTAGCACCATCATCTGAGTGGGTCACGGCTTGGCCCTATAGTACACCAATACCATCATTAGGTACGAGATATTATACGTAGAGGTACAAGTGTCGGATATGAGCTCCTTCGCTGCTGTTAATGAGGAGTACTGTAAACACTTCCCTGCCGTCAACCCACCCACCCGGTACTGTATCCAGACTGATCTACCCCAGGGTAGTAGTGGGTCATGAACGATACTCATAGGTTACTCGCTAGTTAGTAGCTGCTGACTACAGTGTCTGTGTAGGTATCCTTATTCGTTTCCGTATACTGGCGATACCCAGTGCTCAGGCAGTAGTGAATACGTTACACGTACAGTCTATATCAACATGGGCTATGTCCTGTATTGGGCCTTATAGCCAGGCTAAAAGGTAATGAGACTCATGACCAAGAGTTAGGAGTAGTTGGGCTCAGGTTCGATAATGGTGGACTCCTAATGACAGCAGGAGTACTAGGTCTTATACCCCATACCATGTCCCTACCTACTACTGGATGGCAGTATGAACTATGGCTCGCTATGCGGTCTCTACATAAGATAACTAACCTTATGTCATCGGAATACACTGTGTTAGCAACACTATTTATAGCAGGAAGGACTCCACTCATACCAGCTGTACAGCTGGCCGCTAAGTATCTTAATGTTGACCCTTCTAGTATTATGGGGCTTAGGCTACCTGCTCTACCTAAAGGAGCCTCTGTGGAAGTATCCCTCATTAACACTGCTCACAGTACTGATGCTGCTATCAATGTATCAGTGTACGTTGGTGAATCGGTCGAATATCTACTGGATGGCCTTGCTCCCTCTAATGGCGCGTTGTCCCAGTGTACTCCTAGCTTAATCTATTATGATGTGACTAGGTATGAGGAGTTAGATATCTACGACCAGTTGCCCACTGACATTAGAAATTCTACTGCAATGATTCCTGTCCGTGAAGCCTGTATTGGCACAGCACGACATAGTCTCGTGATGTTTCGAAATGATATCCGATATTGCTAAGCAGTGTGCTCACGCCCTGCTGTAGTTTTCCCGTTATCTGCCGTTTCTTCCTTAGTTGAGTCCAGTCCAGTGTTCCACATCATCGTGAGTATACACTCACGAAAATCGAGTCACTACAAGGGATACTCAACATTGGGGAATATGAGACCGGTGAGTATTCTCGAGAGGATTACTAGATGTCCAGCAGCTCGTGTCTGTTGCACCGCTGGTGAGAGCTTGGATGTACTCTGTTAATCTCGGAGGGTTGACCCCAGTGATCGCGGCCTTGATCGTTCGTGGGTGGTAAACAATTCACAATATGCATCTTCGGGTTGTTATCATGACGGTGCCGTCAATGGATGCAGGATCTCTTGATCTCGACCAGTGCGTCGTACTGCGAGTTGATTCAGCTGAGCGTCCTATATGATTGATTCCGGATGAGAGGATTGAGGTTTATCAAGAGAACTTATCTAAGGCTCAGCTTTAAGGATGCACTGAGCTCAATGAAAGTTGGCCTACAATACCTGATATGAGTGGTTCAACCTGAGCAACCATTCCATTAGTTGTACGCTTCCATGTTTCGTGTGACGAATTGTGCATGTGGGGTTGCGCTGACTTTGAGGACGTCCACACGGTGTCTGTCCTGGATCACTAGAAGTAGCGTCGTCTCAGCTGATCGATTTCGTCGCGGACAATTTAGAACGAAGTCTTTATTCCTGATCAACCCTGATCAATCCAAAACTCTTATGGGCCACGGTCCTTATCAGAGAAATGAATGTGATACTTTCGAAACGCACAGAAATTACAAATCGATCATCTGGGCGCTACTATTAGTGATCCAAGACAGAAAATTTAGTGACACAGTCTTCGTAAGTTTGGCCTATTGCCTGAACTTGAGGACTTGTAATACCGTGTAGCACGCGTACCACTTACGACCGCACGTATGCGACATTTGCCATACCACTCAGTCCACATCTCCTTATCATTTGAGCCCACGAGGGAGATATATGAGCAGGGAATGTGTAAACATAACTGTGGAGGCGTGTGGTGATTGGAGCTTCATTGGTCAGGACGGGTCACTCATTCTCATATTCTTTCCGATTAGTTCATTCCCCCTCATTGTGGCTACATTATAATGCTACTCAGTGTTTGGTCTTTTTCCTCTTTCTATGACAGGTCATAAGCCGAATCCCGCTCTTCCCAGCGAGGACACACACATATCTACACCAAAGGCCTCTTCCCTACAGTCCGAGATCATTAATATTGAGGAGGAGGAGGTGTTGGCATCAGAGAGCGGTACAGGTTTTTCTGTTGTTGCTCGATGGATTGTCCCTACCCTTATGATATCACTTGCTATTATTGGTACTGCTAACGCAATCGCTGGTAAGATAAGGTCTCAACCTTTGGGTGAATATTCTGGTTTGGTCACGTCTATGATCAGTCAAGTGACCTATTGTTTGGTCTATTGGGCTGTTCTTATTATACTCTATGCTATGGGTAAGATCCCATTAGAGCAGCTCAAGTGGACATGGACTACCCCTCCTCGGGATGAGTACTCTGCTATGCGTGAGGATCGTATTAGTATACCATGGTACCAGCGTTGGCGTATTGGGATAGGGATTTGGTGGGAAAGCCTGCCAGGTTTTCGCTATACTTTCTTTGCGGCTATCGCCGATTGCCTTGGTGAGATCTTTATGTTCCTCACCCAGCCCTATCTATCAATTGCCGTATTCAATATGCTACAGCAAGGAATGGTCCCTTTTACCCTCATGTGGTCTTTGTTATTCTTACGAGATAGATACACCTTCATCGAGGTTGTTGCAGTTACCATAGTTATTGTCATGGCTTTGGTATCGGTTGTTACATCCTCTACGAGTGATGGTAACAACAGTATCAGCATGGCTATCCTGTGCCTTGTATCAACTGTTTTCCAGGCATTGGGATTTGTACTAAAAGAGTGCATGTTCCGAGCCTATACTCGTTATGCCACACGTAGAGGTAATAAAGATGCGTATCTTAACGTATTTGTAGTGAGCAGCAGTAGTAATATTTTCGGTTGTGTCTGGACTTTTCCGCTCAACGTCATCGTTGAGCTTATTAGAACTCAGGGCTCCAATATACCCATCATGGACCACTTTGCCGATGGTTTCGAAACTCTGGCCAATGCCGATGGTGCCTGGCAGGCTCTTGTTGTTTATCTCTGTTTTAACCTACTTTATAATGTGAATATCTATATGCTCATATCTTATGGTTCTAGTTTACTCACATTCGTTTGCAACAAGATAACCGTGCCATTGGCAGCCATTTTATCGTTGATAAGTTGGCCGATTATCGGCAGAAGTACCGTTACATGGTTGGAATGGGTCACTCTTGTTATAATACTCCTCGGTATTGCACTATTCCGTTATGGTAACGTCATACGCTCGAAACTCGACGTTGAGAATGCACGTATTGATAATCCTGTGCTGAAGTATGTCATTTGCCTATTCCCAATGTTCCGGCATAGAAAGGAGGTCAATGACGGCGATTCTATGAAGCAATATGAGAAGTCGCATACTCATGTGGTCGTCAATTGGGAGTCTATAGCTCAGCCGTGGCTACTTTTTTGGCCGAAGAGGTATATTCCTGTTGGTGATGTCACCACGAAGAATAGTTCCAAATCGGCGATTCCCTACTCGATCTCGCATGATAGTGTATAACCGACTTGTGATACCATGTATAGCGAACGTACACCTTCAATTCTTACGAACTGTACAGCTTAGTTCGGTTCTATCCAGTATAATTCCATTTAGTGGTGTTCTAGCACCCGAACCAACTTCAGTATTGGCTTTAAGGACTAACTGTCCTAGTTCTGCTTCGGCTAACTCGTTTCAGAGTACACGTCTCTTGTGTTGATTGGTTGGCGTCAACATTTACGTCTTGTGAATCACATAACGAACGACTTTCGCATGCGAATATGCATGAAATGAGTCCGTTTGGCCAAAGTCGTTCATTCCACATCTCACGGTAACGCAACAATCCCCCAAGTTGGTATTCGCTATATTTGTCGCTTGCGAATGTTTCAAGGAGGATATAGTCCTATTGCAGCACTTACATAATGCAACTGGTAGAAGAACCTTTACAGCAAATATATACTTAACGGAGCTCTGCTCATTAAGAGAAGAGCAGCCAGACTTTCACGGAAGATTTCAGCAAGCCGTAGCCGGTGATGAAGATGAATATATCAATACCAATCCCAGTGCGGAACCCAGAGCAGTGCTATCCATTGGGTTATGTACGCCAATCGGCATCACAAACACAGTGAGTAGTACGGGAAGAAGTAATAACATGATACTACCGCAAATGAGTCCCGGCATGGATGATAGAGTGGAACCATTTAGTAGGTAGGTTTCAAGGTGAGATAACCGAACATCCATATCCACATTTGCAGTAGCCAAAGATCGGGACCTTCTCTGAATCGTCGTGATATAACCCAGTCAAAATACGGTACACCAGGTAACCATCAATATCTCTTGTTCCTTCTCTCATCACAGTCAATGTCCTGATCAAGTGCCTAGTCTTATAACGGCATTGCTAGCCACCATCGACGGACGTGATCGCTATTATATTCGTTGTCTCTATAATCGTTACATTGTTGATGGTGCTCCATTTAGTATTGCTCATTTCGACTGAGTTTAACTTAACACTATGGCCTGCTAGACCGAAAAAACACTTCCCAGCAATAGTGACGAGAACAATTGGGCAGAGACGACATCGACAGTTAGATAAATTGTAGCTACATAGCGTGTTACCACAAAGTGGCTTGTAGTAACACCAGAACTGTTATAGATAAGGATATATAAATGTGGCAGGTAGTGATATAAATGTGGCCCACAATTTGTGGGTATGCATTATCGTCGATAGCTGTGAGACTATCAAGATGGACCTTTCTCAAGCAGTGCTCTGAGAATGAGTCTCTCATTATCCCACAAGACTGACCCATCTTACCTTTGGATGCTGAGGCTGTTATTACCCTAACGGGTGGGCGTGGTAATGAATCAGTTCAACTTGCTATGGTTCGCGCCATAGGTAAGATACACCACGGCGCCGAGGACCTAGGGCAAAGGTGGACGAAATGTGCACAGAATACGACACCTACCAGCCAGACAGTGACCATTATCAAAGCCTGAAGACCCAGAGAGGCCATCAAGTAGCAGTTAACCCATATTGCAACAGCGGGGAGGATAGGTACCCAGGGGCAATGGAAATGGTTATCATCAACTACAGGGGTACGACGGTCAATCCTGGATAAGGGTCAAGTGCTTACCCATATCGACCTTATCCCTTTCACTGCCAGCAAGGAGGGGCTCATCATGTCCCCTAAGAAGGCATCATGTCGAGTAGTATGACAAACCAATGTACCCACCCTTGTATGCTATCATCCATGTTGGGAGGTGCTATGGCAGCGAAGTAGACGTAGAGTAGCCAGGCTAGACTAGCTAGATTGAGGGCTCCTAGTGTTATACCAGAACATGTAAAGAGACCATGCAGCACGGCGACGTAGTGGAAGGTGAGCGATAGGGCGAACTACAAGGTACTACCTTGGCATAGGGCTGTACGAGACTACAAGAGACTTACAAAGAGAGATATTGAGTAGGTAATGTTAGTGGTAGTGATAGGAGGATAGCTACTACCACTCCTTTCAGTGTAATCCTCAACTCGCGTTAATATAATACCACCATTAACCAGTGTAAACATCGCCAATGTACCTGAGCAATGATACTAAGAATGGTCAATAGAGGATAATGACCCACTGAAACTGGTCATCCCAGCTAATGGCTCAAAATCGCATACGGCTGATAGTATAGTCGCGATTATACCACATATAGTAGTACCTATATGGTTCGCTATGGGGAGCTAGATGGATTGATAGAAGCATGCCTACCAACAACAGGTACATCGTGAGCACTAAGCTTGGCTAGGGGTTGGAAGAGTAACCCATCCAGAGCCATTCTATACCAGATACGAGGCTGTCCCAGTATACCACTCATAACGCTTGGGGTACCTACATTATCACATATACCGATGATGATCATGATGATGATGAGAGTAGGTCCTACAGACAGTTGTAGCTGCCAGAGATGTTATAATATAACCCCAGTTGTCATGGTGGTATCTGTGTGGGTAATACTGGGGTGGTATTAAGGTACTGTATATGCTGGTATGATGAAGTATATTACTGGAATGCAGTAGCTAGAGGTGCATCCAAGTCAATACTATCTATAGGGGTCATGAGGCATAGAGTAATACTTAACATAGAGTACAATAGGGCTACAATAAGTAATGTACCTGTATAAATAATAGAATGATGGTGGTGAGGTATGTGTAGGTATATACTACCCATAATGCCTCGGGGTATATCTTTCTTAGGGTTCCGTACCTCCTCACTCAGTGTACATACAGCATCCCACCCAACACAACAGAAGAATGCTAACCCAGATCCACGCAGTACCTAATGAGTATGTAACAACTGAACAGGGTATTACTATTATTATTACCCCTGCAAAGCCACCAACCCCATCAACTGCTGCATCGTTGGGAAGAGTGAAAGGCTCCATATTACCAACATCACCATACCTAGGAAAGATAATACTAGAGTGGCAGCATAGCATGTAGTAGTACATGTATGATCCATACAGGGAGAAGGTTAAGAGTAATACTATATTAAGGCATGCCATACTGAAGCTAAAGGTAGCACTCTCCTTTACACCAGATAAACAGATAAGAGTACCTAATACTAATAGTATGATGATGATGATGAACATGACCATGATGATATGAGATTAATAGAGTGATTACATATAGCACATAGTGTAGTGCTAAACGGAGATGATATATACCATACTGAGTAGTGTAGCATACATCCATGATGGTAG